ATATTTCATGATTAAAATAATAAATATATATTTATGGTAAATTCTTTGAATATTTCATGATTAAAATAATAAATATATATTTATGGTAAATTCTTTGAATATTTCATGATTAAAATAATAAATATACACGTATAACCTCATACCAATTCTTCATCTTGAACGAGCTCGGCAACTGTAAAATGTTTTCCCTTGATCCTAGTAATAATTCACGAAAAAAACAATAATTGAGAGTTAACCTTTAATATAGTTTGCCCTAACCTCTCACTATAGCATAGTAAGAATAATTTAAAACTTTTATTATTATAATGCTATAACAGAGGTTTTACCATAATAGATTAATTATTCCAGCCTGAACAGACTGAAAGATAATCGAAAAGAAAGTTTATGATTATTACCAATATTTTTTCGCAAGATCAATATCTTGAAAAACGGTAAGTCTGCAATCCGCAGCTGAAACAAAAACGTTATCATCACCAGGTACCGCAGGGGGTCTGGCACCAGGCTTCAATTTTCTATAAAAAAATTCATTGAAATTCTGATATTTTTTTAAATCCGGTTCTAATAATTCATCAACCTTAATATCATAGTGTTTAACAAAACCAGGGATGGTTTTAGTAGAATGTGGTGAATCAAAATATTGTCCCTGACGCTTTGATTCAACTTCGAAAAGATGTTTAATGCCTGATGATTCGACAACTAATAATTTAAACATGATAAAAAATCAGTTAGGATTTTTTTTTTTTAGAATAATAATAATTTGATAATTGGTACCTTTTTCTTCAATTTTTCCAGAAAATAGTAAATGCATTCCGATCCTAGCATATATTGGCATTTCCTCCCATATCTTATCACCAGTCTGAATATATATATATATATGTTATCGGTAATTAATTAAATTTTAAATTTTTAACAGAATAAATTCCCGATCACGTGACTCACTTCGCGAACAATTACATAATTCCCAAAATGCTTTTTAGCAGCCCAGTTTTTCAATGGTGGTAGGAATTTGTAAAGTGAATGAAGGGAGGGATGCATCAAAGATTTATGTGGAGGCTTTGAATTTGAAGGAGCAAAAATGCTTTCACCAGCTTTTAAAAAAGACCGAAGAGTATTATGAGAAATTACATGAAATAGTATTTACAAATACAAAATAATATCCAAACCATCTTTTTCAGTCGTATGCGAAACCACCGTTTTCAATGCCTATAGCATTTTAAATTTAGAGAAATAAGTTTTGAGAACGCCTCCTTTCACCGACTTATAGTTAAACATGACAAAATATTAACAAAAAATTTACATGTATTAAAGAATGATGATCAGTTTTTTTATGGTATCCATGAATAGAATCTAAATCCACAGGAACTTTATCGTGGCTAGTGTCGATATTTATGTCACGGTTAGAATTACCCGAATTATTCATTTTTATTAATATATAATTTACTATATAGTGATAAATATCGTTTGAAAAAAGAATGTTACGAGCTTATAGCATTCAGTCGCGAGAGGGGCAACTCATTTTATAAGAATTTTTAGCCACTTTCCACCTGACAAAAATCAATCCAAATTATATATTGCATCACAAAGATGTAATCACATGCATAAGATCAACCAAAATTTTTCATATTTAGGCATAAACAAAAACTAACTGGCTAAAGGTTTAAACATTGTATTCCTTAACGTATAACGTCAATTTTCTTATTACTGTATTAGTGTATAATGTTTTTGTGATACATATGTTGTAATGAGTGACCCGTTATAGTCTCAAAGGTCAAAATACATCAATCATGATCTTATTCTTACGTACGTACGTACTGTACGTACGTGAATGCTGAAAATAACAGGTAATAAACCTTATTTCAAATAGTGAACGTGTTATGATAAATCGGCGGAAAAAACGTTACACGTATCAAGACTTTATTAAATTAGCAGTATGTTTTGAACCGATTTTAATCAGTTTTAGCATATGAAAATAAACCGGTTCAAACTCCTTAAAAAAAGTAAAATACAAACCGAAGTTTTTGATCAAATCAAATAATTCATCATGATTTAGTCTTATACAGTATAAAGTCAGCCAATTAAACCAAACACTATATATTCGTATTATATTATTATTGGCTGGCTTACAAACATGTGACTTATTAAAATAGTAAAATAAAATAACATTCTGATTGGCTTGTTTAACTTCAAAAAGGTGTTAAATTGTAATTACAAATAGTTTTATAATTTTTTAAATTTTTGAAAGCTTTCAACCTACATATTGTAGTAAATTATTAAATTTTACAATAATAAAAATTTTGTTTCAAATTAAAATTCCGAAATTTATAATTAGTGTTACAAATTATTGCTATATATCTTAATCTAATTACTCAAGTAAATATTTTTAATAAAACTCTAAACAATATATAGATTATATAAAATTTTGGAAAAATATTATATTTGAAAAGGCGGTAATTAGTCTAAAAGATTATATTTAAAAGTGGATAAAAACTTTTTATATACTGTAATATTTTCAAAGTGAATAAAAGTAATTAATTAAAATAGGTGATATTTAAGTTTTGAATAACAAAATAAAAAAAAAGAGAAAAATTTGTTTAAAAAATTAGGAAAATTAATTTTTCAATATATTTTTTTTGAATATTTCTAACCATAACCGGTGGTGACCATCACCAGAGTGATTATATTATATATAAAAAAAATAATAATTCTTAAAATTGCACCCTAACCCTAAAAATATTTATGGGTGGTGACAATCACCACCGGTTATTTGTAGTAAAACTCTATTTTTTTAACATTAAAGCTTATCAGTTATGTACAAAATAAGGTTAATTGGCTCTAATGAAAGTGGATATATATATAACATCTATGTGTATTGTTGGGGTCTTAGTTTAACTTTTACAATATACAAGTATAATTGTGCTTTTGATACTTCAGAAGTATCCTTCTTGACGCTTCCATAGTAAAAATATCAAAAGGGTAACTTTGAATTTTCTGTCTGTCTCACTTGCATATTTATGTAACACAACAAATCCCATGCGATTTCTCTCCGAACTTATAGTATTTATTAACTGTTGTGATCTTTTGCTATGATATATTTATGAACACTTGATAACCGAATGTTTTTATCGGTAAATTTTTTTAGCTGTTTTAGAATTTATAAAAAACAGCTATAAAAGTTCTCAATTTTAACCTGGCTGGGTTATAGAAACACTATCAGCTATAGAAACCAATTAATTAATTTTATTGTCTAAGAACATTTTTTTATAAAAAAAAATTTATTCGAATATACAGTATATTTAATTCTATGTGAAGTACTCCTTGTTTTGAACTTAATTAAAAAGATGAAATCTTGCATGTGAGTGAAATTCATATCATTCCATATACTTCAGTACGAAACCTTGCATTTAGAGAAAATATTACTGAATTTACTGAATTGCATTTAGAGAATTTGGCATTTAGAGTAAACATAACAGTTCTAGCATTCGTGAGACATTTTCTTGTACCACAAGATTGCCCCTCGTGACGTAATATTCACTTTGTTTGGTTTTATTTGCATAAAAAATAATTCGCGCTTTCGTTTACCTTGTAAAAATATTTTATCGTCTTTAAACTTTTATTACTTTTCGATTTTGCAAAATGTTTTATTCGGAAGCTATTTTGTCTAAAAAGGTAATTTTAACGTGGCTTTTTTCTCTTAGTTTAACTTATATCAAACTATTTCTGACTATTTCGCTTGTCTCCAATTTAAAACACCTTGTAAAAAGGGTCCATTGGCGAAAGTATGGCTAGCCGCGCACTGGGAACGAAAATTGAGTAAGGCTCAGTTTTTACAAACAAACATACAAACTTCTGTAGGTACGTATAACACTGTAAACTTTTGTATTGCTGTTTATTTGTTTGAGTTTCCAATTTTTGCTCAGATTTATTGCTTGCAAAGAAATCTTGCTCCTATTCCAAATAAAAATATATTAAAAAGTTACTTCTTTCGATTTTATTTAAGGTGCTATCCTCGGTGGAGATCAACCACCCATGGCACTACGCTTGTCAGGGCAATTATTACTGGGTGTTGTCCGCATATATTCAAGAAAAGCGAAATATCTGCTTGATGATTGCAATGAAGCTCTACATAAAATTAAGATGGTATTTAAATTCAATCAACATTATATAATTATATAATTATGGTATCTGGTATTACTGATCTGATCACATATTAATATTTCTTTTGTATAAAGGCATTTAGACCAGGCGAAGTTGATTTAGTTGAAGAACAACGAATAGCTAATTTTGAATCTATCACATTACCTGATAATATTACGGAGTTTGATATATTATTACCAGATCCTAGTCTTAATATCAAGTAATGAAACTCAGATAATTGCTTAAATATTTACGTCATTTTTATTAATTAACTAATACAAGTGTAATTAAATTAGACAATGGACTGATATAACACCGGTTGCAACTACAAGTTCATCAAACATCTCAAGACCACAAGACATTACTATAAGAGACAATTTTGATGTTTCATTAACTTCAAATATTGGGGATGATTTATTAGGGGATGCTTTCGATACAGAAGATGGTCGAGGTCTGGATCTTAATTTGGATGATGAATTATTCGATTCGAAGGCGCATGGTCACGATGCCAGATCTGAAAGTAACGATGGATCTATTGATATTGAAATGGCGAGAGATGCACAACCTGAATTGTCGATGACTATAGAAGATGTAATTGGTAGTGGTAGTAAAAATGCCGTCGAAGATGACCCATTGATGATAATAGATGATGGTCCTGAATTAAATCTTATGGATGATAACCTATTGGACGACAATCTAATAGAATATACAGTAGATATGCCAACTTTAGATATTGGTAGACCATCATCAGAAAGCCTTGAAACAAGACCACTAGAAATAGATGTTAATCTTGATACAAATGTTACAAATATGGTAGAGGAAATTACGACTACAGTTACAAATGTAGAGGAAATTACGACTACAGTTACAACTACAGAAATTGATAATGATAAACAACCGACTATTACAATCACGGATGAAATTCAAAATCAGGAAGATCAAACAGTTCAAGAAACTATGAGGTTTACTCCATTGTCTCCACGAAGTCCTGAACAAGAAGTTCCTGAACTATTTCAGGATGAGGTTATTCAACCTACAACACCAAATCGTAGAAAGCGTAAATTAATCGTAGATGAGGTGACTGAATTACCAAATAGACATATTGCAAACCAAATCAAGGATACTTCCGATATTTTGATTACGGTGTGTATTTAAGTGTAAATTATTATTAAATACTTTTACTTTTAATAAAGGAATTACTGAATTTCTTTTTATAGCCATCTTTTCTCCAAGCGTCGCGTAATTTACTACGCATCGGGGAGATTAGACAAACGGGCGCTTCTTATTACCTTGATTTAAATGTTCCACATAATCTTATGCCCCAATTCCATCACCTCTTTGCTCGAAAACGTCTGAGGATGACACCATCCCCGCCTCCTGAGGATTATAAGCAAGAGGAGGCTGTTCAAGCTGGACCATCTCGAGTTGATAATCCAATAAACGAGGAATTTACTGAACACGAAAACAATAATACTTATGTAAGTAAAATTAGATATTGATTATGATAACCGTTTGAACTGTTAACAACCAAATTTTTTTTATAGGACGATTTAGATTTTCAAAATGCATACAATAGTCCTATTTTGGATCACGGTACTGTAATGATAAAATTTATGCACATTAAATTATTTTTTTTATGTAATTTATTTATTTATTTTTTTTTCAGAATCAACTAAAGGTTCTGTCGTAGAAGAAATTGAGAAAGGAAAAGAACAAGAAAAGACTCATAACACAGATAAAGAAAGTGTTGCCGAGCAAAATTTAGCCACACCAGTGGAATCAACGTCAGAACATGATGATGCTGAGAATAACTTTGATATGGTAAATAGCATATAGTTGTGCTGTTCTTGATACATGAATATGATAATCTTAATTACTTATATTACAGATATCCCATCATGAAAACGATAATGCACTAGACATTACTAGCCCAATTGACGATGGAGGAGGTACAGTTCTTGCATAATTATTAAACTTAAATAAAATAGGCCCAATGTAATTTCCTTACGCTTTTTATTTTGGATATAGAATCATCAAGCAGTCGTGGTATAACCATTTTCGATCAAGACGAGCCACAGGATCAGCAAGCTACAGGAAATGAATCCGGATACAGCAAGAATACAGTCAAAGCAATGCGACTTTTGAGGGATAAATGTCGTGGAGAGATAAGTGATCGAGCTAATGGAAAATCAAAAAGTCCGGTACAAGTGGTTGTCAGTTATGATTCAGTCGTTGGCACGGTAGGACATTAATATTAATAAATTGTACTGATTGACTTTATATTAATGTTATAATAGTAATTATATTATGTATATATCTCTTTATCTTCAGGCTAAACGACAAGATGCTGTTAAGCTGTTCTTTGAATTATTAGTCTTAAATACTAAAGACGTTATTCATGTAAAGCAAAATCAGCCATATGGAGATATAGAGATTCTATGTAAAGTAAGGATGCTGAAGTTTTGAACTTTATAAATTTAATCGGCTTGATATATTGAATTTATTTTAATCTTTATTATCATTTTAGGATAAATTATTCGATTTACTAGAAGAAGGAGTTGTGTAAAGCCAGATGTGATCACATGACTCGTCGAGATTGGATATACATAGCTGACTGTGTCCTATTTTATATTCAACCACTCAAGAGAATTATGATCACATTAATAAAATTTTTAATATTTTTTCATTAATAGCGATAGTTAGTGTTTAGATCTGGATGTGCATCTTATTTTTTTTCAAAAATCCGGTTTTATAAATAGATGTTTAATCTTAACCTTTAATCCGGTCTTTATTAATACAGTCGACTCTGGATATACCGGACTGCATATTCTGGATCATTTTGTTCGATATAGAGTAACCAATAAAATCTCTCACAAACCTAAATTTTACTCAAAATTTTCATTTTCTTTTGGAATATTTCGGATCTTATTATTTCGTAGACATGCATATTCAAGAAAATATATAATAGTTCGCTATATCGAAATATGCATACATAGTTTTGGGCTGGTAAAAGAGTTCGGATGCGGTATATAAAGATTTACTATCTAAATTCGGTATACCAAACTAATTTATTATAAAAAATCCGTTCTACCAAATCTGGTTCCGATTTCGGTCGGTGTATTCAGAGTGATTGGTTAAAATTAATGATAATGTTAAAGATCACTTCAGTTAATCGAAAAGATTGTCAATCACCAGCAAGTCACATTGAGGGAACTACTCGGAGAACAGCCACAATTAAAATTTTACCGGAGTGGATCGATTTTGAATTTACTGTAAGAACTAGGACCATCGGTGAAGGTCGGAGTCAGGGACAGAGTTAGGAATAGTTTATAATCATGTTCTGTAAGGCAATTGTTTTTTTTTTTTATAGAACACGAAAGGCAGTTAGTTTCATAAGTGAGATATTGTAAGATCTATGATTTCGTTCTTACATAAGATTTGCCGTGACTGTTACCGTCAGTTTTCTTTATTTTTAATATAAACGATTAGTTGGAATAAAATTTTCTAATCAATTGGTTGAGCTACCAATTTCAATTCCAGATGGTTTCGAAATGATACTGATGCGTAAACGAAGCATTAGTTTTTAATCATTCCGTGTTAAATTTGCAAACAACCACTTTGTTAATAAGAATTATTATTTTATTATATATTATGTAATTGGTTCTTGAATAAACATATATTAATTGGCAGTCTAAATAATTAATACTGATGTTTTTTATCTTTTTTTTTGCCAGTTTAAAAAAAGTCGTGTACAAATAGACTTTAAAGCAGATACTAAGTCTTTTGCTTGAAATAGACCAATAAACTAGGTTTATTAACTCTAGGCTAGAATTAAAATACATCCAATACAGTATATTGATGATCTATATATTAACAATTGATTAATAAACCAATAGACCTAAATTTAAAGGTTCTGATATTTGCCTATTGGTCTTTAACGTGTTTGAGGCTAAAGACGATTGCCCAAAATTTACTTAAAATTATTAGCTAGGTTACACATGATCTTGGATAATCATTCAAATATCGCATTAAAAGCAAAAATTTCCAAACTTGATGCTGGTTTACTTCTTAACAAGAGAAACCTTAATCGTCCGGTAATTGTGTGAAAGAAAGAAATATCCCCTAAACATAAATATATAAAATAAAATTGCTTGTCGTATGGAGGAATTTCACATACCAGTACACCTGGAAATATAGAAAATATTATCAAAAGAAAAAGAAAAGGAGATTCGAGAAGGTAATCGAAATTTTTGAAGCATGAAAATCAAATTTATGAAGTCAGTGATGGAAAGCTAATTCAGTAAACAATCAGACGAGCTATTGAATACAATCAATGAATTGACTTAAGTAGATTGAGATGATTTTTAGATATTATGTTTCTTTATATCTAATCCGATGCCGTGGAAAGAATCCACCAGGTTTTGCACGTTCATTTGCACAATTCACATGTCAAAATCATTCGTAATACTGGTTTTCTACTTGAAATTCTTTATGCAATGTGAAGGTCATTATCACGTGTATCTTCGAATTGATTAAATTTTTGCCTCTTGCAAAGAATCAGCCTTCTTGGCTCAGTTGGCAGAGCGTCTGCCTAGTAGGTTAATCCGTTAGCAGAAGGTCGGCGGTTCGATTCCGCCAGGAGGCAAAGTTCCCTTTATCTTTTATACCTTTTATATTTCGAAAACTTTTATTTCGTGTCAAGTAAAAATAATAAAAATATATTTAAATAAATAATTGCTGTGCTTAAGAAAAAAAAAATGCTTTTTTTATTTTTTTCTTGACAATGGGAATCCTAGATCTATGGTGATTTCTAGAAGTTATTCGTAATTGCGTATGTATACTATATATATACTACGTTTATTCGATTAGGTTTACGAATGCCTTACGCAAATCAATTACACACAATAGGTAAACAATGTTTGAATTCTCTTTTAAGAAATTTATTTATAATTATATAGTTTATATAATATTGTACAACTAGAAAATATCATGTTACATAAAACGTGAGTACGTATTGTGTGTGCGTACGTGTATACGTATGTTCATACGTATGTTTGTGATCAGATATTCGTAAGCAGTTATTACGTATATATATACATTGGAAATTTTATATATAAAAGGTTGATAGTGGCGCTATTATCACTTTTAAAATTTAAATATTTTTTTACATTTTTTAAAGTTACATTTTCTTAAATTCCTGATAAATTCTTGTGAAAAGAGAAAACTCATTCAAAAAATGCCAATTATTAAAGTAGCTTACCAATCGACTGTGCGTCGTTTTTCTATTGCTGAAACAACAACTTGGACTGAACTTGAATCCAACCTTCGTACTTTGTTTTCCTTACCACCTACTTTACCTTTTTCTCTCTCATATACTGATGAAGATGGCGATGTAATCACTTTATCAACTGATTTGGAAATTCAAGATATTTTATCCAATCATCATTCCAATACTCCTTTAAGATTCACTATCATTCCTCGCTCTACTCAAGACCCTCAACAATCTCAACAATTTAATAATGCCAATATTACTTTCCAAGCTCCTCCCGCTGAGCCATTATCTCGCCACGTAACGGTGACAGATGAATCTGAAGAACAAATTTTTACTCCAAGCATTCCTTCTATCTCAAAAGGTAAGCAAAGAGCCGCTGAGGAAGACACTCCCTGCGAACCTAGTTCAACAGATCAGCAAAAATCGAATGAAGAAGAAACCAGAGCTCCCTTCATTGATTTAGCTCAACGATTTCAAAATTTACTTGAACAGGTACGACCTGCATTGGATAAAAATCCTCAACTCGTTGAACAAGCAAATACTATTATGGATCAAATTTTACGAAATATTCCTGTCGATATTGATATGTGGGATCAATGGTTTAAATCTCATTTTAATGAATTTCAACAACATCAAAATTCTAACAATTCACGTCAGTTTCCTTCAGTTTTTTCACAAAATATTGAACCATGGCTACGAAGAGTAGGTCAAGATGTTTTAAATGCTTCTAATTGTCCTTTTGTTGGACAAAGGCAACAAAATGATCAAAAACTTGATGATGAAACGTTAGATGAAAAGTTAAAAATTCTTCATTCAATGGGATTCTGGGAAGATGATGTAAAAAATATTGAACTTTTAGAAAAATATTCAGGAAATATTGATAAAGTAGTTGAAGTCTTAATTACGATACAAAACGAGAGAATTGCAAAAGAGGAATTAAATCTTCAACCTTCCACAGATGCATAAATTTTTTTCGTTAAATGTACAATATAAATATGTTTAATTGTTATCGATATAATTTTATTTTTTTTCTATTAAAATAAATAAGACATAAATTATGTTTTTTTTTTCATTAAATAAAAATAAGTATACAATACTGGGCAAAAATTGTTGAATAACGGTAATTTTGCTCAAACGGGCAAATGATTGGCTGACATGTGCCGCGCAGCGGCACGTGTCAGCCAATCATTTGTCCGTTTGAGCCAAATTACCGTATTCAACAATTTGCCCAGTATTGGTGTTATCCGGCAATTTATGATCATGATTGGTAGGGAGTCGCTCGCTGAGTTTTATTTTTTGAATATTGGAATAACATAATTATATCGTAACACATGAAAAAAATAACAAGAAGAAATTTTTTCATGATCATATGAAAATTGTTTACATAACATTCATGCGTGTCCTGAAATAACGTGCCCATAAATTTAATCATTTAGTCTAATTTTATACACATCTTCATATATTTTATATTATTAAAAATAAAATAATAAAAAAAATCTTTATATAAAATGATGAAATGACTGTGAAATTGACAAATTTTAAAATTCAATTCTAACTCTAAAACGATGTATTTTAAAATTCAAGTCCTTTTAAGGTGTGTTTGTTAAGTTGCTTCTCAATATTGTAATGCAATTGTATTATTTGAATAATCTGGTTAAACCAAATACTGTAGTTATGGAAGTTAGAGATTGGAACCGACAAAAAACATTAACCGGTTAATGACCGGTTAGAAAGCTCCTTACAGCTGTTCTGGAACAACAAGGGTCGCATTGCACAAAATGCAGTTGCTGTGAGTTATTTTAATATAGAGCCAATTAAATTGTTCAGTATAATAAACTTATTTAACCAATTAAACTATTTTTGCTAAATAAAATTGGCTACTACTATGTACAAAATAGCCAATTAAGCTTCTGCAAGTGCACTATTAAAATATAGTACCTGGCTACCCAGATACTATGTTTTAACAGCACCATGTCTAGTGCTTTTAGAATTCTATAGCCAATGACTGAAGTTTCACATAATTAATAACAAAAATTATATTCAAATAAATTTGCTTATTTGAATTATTTGCAGATTCATCGAATATGATTATTATTTGAATAACAAATATGAATATGAAGCTTTAGTCTTAGTCTACTAATTTAGGTGCTTGAGAACTATTATCAAATAAAAAATTTTATTAAGTTTATCTTAAGCATTTTCCAATAAGATGATTTTAATTGGCAAAAGGATAGAAAACTATTATAAGGATCATTTTAATTTAATTTCAATTAATTAAAATAATTGAGTAACATAAATCTCATTGAATGAACTATTAGAAAATAACCTTAGCAGCTTGTTTGGTTAGTTAGTTTTATTTAAAAACTTTTGGAATTTGCCCTAACTTCACCATTTTTTTATAATTTTTACAGATTAAAATTGTTATAAGTATTAATAAAATCAAATAGCTGATTTTAAAAATTAGCTAGTTAAGCTAGTAATTTGCTTTAAAGTATTACAAGTACAGTATACCCTGTCAAAACCAATTTTGTCAAAACCGATAACCTTTCACAACTAATAAAAAGTTGATCCACCATATCGGTTCCATAATTCAAATCTGATAACCTGCCATTTCTGATAACCAATACTCAAAACATTAGATATTTATAAGATATCGGGTTTGTAAGGTAAAATTAATTGATTTAATTGGCTCAAATCTGATTTTGTATAACCAAATATATATGTATAAATATAATTTGGCCAATTATATTTAGCTATTATCATGTGACTATTAGGTTATTAGTATCTTAAATCCAATAACCTCTCAAAGCTAATACAAAAGCTATCCACCATGCACATCGGTTTTGACAGGGTATATTGTATCTTATTTAATAGATTGAGAAGTAAATTTTTTATAGTCAAAAAATAAATAAATTAAACAGATGAATTACTATTTCAAAGAGGTGTGGCGACTTAGTGTAGTGGTCTAGTCGTCACCCTCTCCAAGTGGCAGGTCTAGAGTTTAAATCCCACGAACGACAAATTTTGAAAATAGCCTGTACTACGGTTTACAGTTGTCAATTATCGGTTGGATCTAGAAATCTGTAATCTCGATTATACCATCTAGTTATGGGAGCTTTGGCACAATAAATCCGAGAAACCGGAATACCCGAAAACCCATTTGGCAAGTCCCGAATTTGGAGGTAGTAGTGATCTTTGACGGTATTACAGGAGGGCTGAATTTGAACCGGGGCCCAAGATTGGAGAACTGAACGACCAGGTCCGCTGGCGGAGAACACACCAGCTGAACCGCTGAGTTGTCGCACCAGAAGAAAAGAGCATACGCTCCGAAAGTATGAACCAAGGGGAGGGCGTCCTTCAGGTACTTAAAGCCTGGGCAGACCGACCCTTCCAGGTTGCCGGCTGGAAGTAAGGGATGGACCAATGAAGAATCCGGGTAAGG